AATACTGTTTTACCCAGTCAAACATTTTTTGCTTTTGATTATTGGTGGATGTTCTTGCATAAGATTTTAGGTTTGCTCTTTTTGGGTCTTCATTGATACCGTAAGTAAATTATGATGGTGAATATTTATTATTACATTGCCAAATACATTAGAGATCATTGCATAACATACAGTTGCAGACTGTTATGTGCAGACACAGATACACATGAAACTTATTAAACACTTTAAGGTGATGGTGCTGTTTTTCTGAATTATCTCTTAGTTTGTTGTTAAAAATTAAACTTATATTTGAGTTGTGAGTTGTATGCCCAAGAAGTTAGAAAAATAAGCATCTTTCAGTTAAGAATAAAGTCTTTTCTTAAGTGGCAAAGTAGAAAATGTGTGTGGTTCCTACTGTGTAGCTGAAAAATAAAAATGGAAATAAAGATCTAGCTGGTTCATGTGTTTGTGAACAGTTTTATCATTCATCATGTATGATCTAAGTGTAATTTGGGATAAATCATAGTTTGGGAAGCTGGACTTGTGAATGATAAGCATAGCATGTTGCAATTGTAGAACAATCTTAGAAATATAATCCACACATACAAAAAAAAGTGTGAATATAGATTTGTGTAATGCTATAGATATTAAAAGTTTTTGTAAAACAATTTCAGTTAGTGCCATTACTAATACATAATTCTTTTCATCAGATGTTCATGCAATCTTTGCAAATTGTTTAGTGAAATGTAGATGTAAAATTCCAGGTATGTTACTGCACTTTTGAATACTATCTTTTAATTGTTTAGTGAAATGTAGATGTAAAATTCCAGGTATTTTACTGCACCTTTGAATACTATCTTTTAATTGTTTAGTGAAATGTAGATGTAAAATTCCAGGTATTTTACTGCACCTTTGAATACTACCTTTTTGCCATGTATTGTTCACCATTGTGAAGTATCCCATAAACTGTAATTTTCAAACTTTTATGCAGTTAATGAGATTCAAATCCAAAATTAAGCAGTTGCTGTTTGTATGTTTACATGCTCAGAAAGATATCTACTCAACTATTACTGCTTGAAGTATCACTACTGTATGAATAGTGATTCTGTTTTGCTTTCTACTTTATTTACTTAATGTTATTTTTTTGTGCTGTGACTTTCTGACTCTTTAATTAGGCCATGTTAAAAAAAAGTTCAGATCGGTAGACTTTTATTTATATATTTTTTATTCCTTAAGGTTAGTTACACCTGTTTACCAAAAACACCTAAGAAAGTAATTCTCATTTACAGGACATTCAATAAGGTCCAACCTTTGTTGTAGCTTATTACACTTTTTATAATGTGCTGATCAGTATATATTCTAAATAACAATATTTTCATCATTAATTGGAGAATAGAAATATCTTCGTCCTGTAGATTTACAAAACTGATCACATATGCCTGAAAACTTAATCATTATGTTTTCATTTCCTGAACTGTTGTTTTCTGTATGTGTTGAATTTGAGAACTTTAACTGGTTTTAGAACTAGTAATTCACAATGCTTTTTCTACTTGACTTTATTTTACACCACAGAGTTTCCTATTTTGTTCAACAGTGCTTCACAGTATATAATGTTGGAGATTTATCTGTTCAAGGATTTGATATCATGAACTTCATATTCAGATTGTTGTCTCATACCAGTACTGAACTTCCTGTCTCAGTGCTTCTTTACCAACTTTGGTTTTATTGACATCACAGTTCTTGGTTTTCCAAATCTTATTAGCTGGTTTGAGGGGAGGGTCATCTCTTTTGTTGAAATACCCCCCCTGTTATATTTAAAATTTGCATTCTTGCAAATAAAGCTGGTATTTCTAGGAGGAAGCATTTTTTTCACTATTGTTTATATGTTCTCATTCTGTATATTCTGAAGTTAGAAATTATACATATGGTACATATATATGTTTTAATCCTCTTATTGCTTAGAAGTCATTTCCTTTTTTAAGTTTCTTTGTCCTTCTGACACCAGTCAGCTGGCAAACTCCTTCCTGGAGTAAAAAGAGTTATTCAGTTTTTTTTCCTTATCAAGGCTCTGACTGCAATTTCATTTAAAAAAGTTTACTTTGGCTCTCAATTGTTAATACTTCTCTGGAAAGGTTAAACTCCATCTTCTGGAAATGCATCACTTTCCACTTGAAATATTTTTTGTTTCACCTTTGTCAAGCCACTGACTTAATGGGCAAGGTTTTTGTGCATCCATTATATGCTAAGTGTTGGAAACCCAGTGTGTTACTCCACTGAGTTATGAAACTGGTATGGAATGTGTCTTCTGTTTCACATGAGACTGCAGAGCTAACCAATGACTTAATAATCTCATTATTTGTGTCCTGTATCATATTTGTACTTGTTCTCACTTAGGGATTTTAGATTTGTAATGGTCTTGATTACTTAGCATATCACACTTCTTTTCATTAATGGCATTGGATACTGTTTACTGCTCATTCACAGATTCCATTATAAAAATTCTTGGTTCTGTTTATTCTGAGCAAATGTACAATTTTTTTTTTTTTATTATATTTCTCAAAGTCCTTGCGGCCCGTTGAGCCGATGGCAGAGCAAGATCTGCCATCGTTTCTAAAGCTGTTTCTTACGTCAAGGATGTAACCCA